CAGGCCTTATAAATAGTTAACATTTAAATCTAAGCTCGTTGATAAAAATATTAACTTTTGATCAAATTTTTTTTAAAATTAAAAATATTTCTTTAAAACACATCCAATCACCTCGATAATTGAGTCAGTCATCCCCCAAGTCACAAATGACAATATACCAAAACTATGAAAAATATCAAAACAAGAAAAACCAACTGATAATACAAAATGATCATACGAAGATCATCATTCAATACTTGATAAAATATGAACAATATAAGAAAAATGTGGCATTGACACTAAGCACATATAATTAAAGTCCATATTATAGGTTCTAGCTATCGAAAATCAAATAAAAATTGTTTATATGACTAGTTAGACTTGAATATATTCAGAATCTACTTTACGTTTATTTTTATTGTTACTTAAAATTTAAAATAAATATTTTTTTTGTCACTTATGACATATAAAAAAAAGATAATTATTTTTTTTATGTTTTACCTTCAATATTAAATACTCATTCAAAATTATTTTCGAAGATATTATTTAATGGAAGATAGTTTGATAAAATACTTATATAAAAGAAGAATTTTAATAAATCTATCAAGTCAAACAGTAACATATAAAAGTGAACGAAGAAAGTATATTCGTTGTGTGCTCGATACTTTAATCACTTTAAGATGGTAATAAAGCTAATCATATTATATTTTTTTTTTCAATTCCACATATGTTACTTATATATATCTTATTGTAACAATATAAGTGTGCCTTTCGGCATTTGGTTAGTAAAATAATTATTAGTTGCTAAAGATGAAGAATGATGGAAATGGATATTAAAAGTAGAGGCCTAGTGAGATAGACCAAAATCCCTTTCACTCTTATAAAATTAAAAAAAGAAGAAGAGATTTTACTATTTTCTTTTTCTAATTAATATATATTAATTATATAATTACACATATATTATGTAATTCATTGAATAATTTTTAGTTTAAACAATTAGATGAATGACTATTTAATGAATACTTAACTCAACTCATTCAAAGTAATCGAATTGGTAAATTTTAAGAATCAAACAATTATATATATACTCCGTCTTTTTTAATTTATATAACTCACTTTCCATTCTAATTTGTTTTAAAATAAATGATACACTTTTATATTGAATAGTAATGTAACTTTAAAATATTCATTTTATTCTTAATAAAATGATTTGTAGCTACATAAATATTCACCATTTATTTTAAATTACACATTTTAAAAGTTTTTTCTTTCTATCTTAAATTCTGTATCAAGTCAAACTATATCATATAAAATAAGACAGAGAAAATATATGTGTATATGAAATAAAATTCATTTTTTTTCTTAAATTAGTATTAAATCAAACCACAACAATATAATTATTTTTTTATAAGTATGTTTATAGGAAAAAATTTAAAAAAGAAGTGGAGTGAGGGATCATAATTAGGGGTTGTAAAGAGTGGGTCCAAAATGCACATTTGGGGTAAGGTCTACATGTTGGTGGCTAGGAGTGACACAAGATAGTGATTGAAAGTGATTAATGATTAAACAATAAGATTAGTTAATCATAACAAATACACTATTGCTCGACAAGCTGTGACCTCCTTTGCCTTAAACAAACACAATTACAAAAAGCCTCTCTTCTTTCTCCTTTTCCCATCCCTTATTATCAAAATTATATCGGGTCAGAATCGTAACTTAAAATTTATGATTTTGAAATTTTAATATTTCTATGTTTTACTAAGTTTTTAAAATAATGATTCATATATTATCTAATAATTTGTATGACAATTACAGAATCTATTTGATTTGACCTAATGCACGATCATTCACCTTAGCTAACTCCGTTCTTAATTCAAGTTGTGTGTACAATCGTACAACATTGCTATAAAAAAAAATTCTTATACTATCATATTATTTAGATAATACCAACAAATACAACTTTTTTTTAAAATATGAAATTTATCATTTAAAACTAAATAATAAGTAATAGTGAGTACTTGATAATGATGTAAGAAATTTTAATTATAATTTTAACTCAGAGTTTTATACGTGCTTCCCCACGTTGGATGGTTCTATTCCACTGTCCTCAAATATGTTTTTTTTTCTTTCTTCATTTTATATAATTAGCATATACTCCTTTTTTCTTTTTTTCTTTTTTAATTCTGTACCAGGAAAAAGGGTAAAAGACAAACACTAAAATTTAGCTAGTTATTATTTCTCTTTGCAATTTTTTTTTTCTACGGATTAATTATGTAGGCTACAAAATCTAGCTAGTACTTTAACAATTGAAATATCAATAAAATTAACCTAATAACTTCTTCTATATATGTATATACAAATTGTAATTAATTCTTTTTTTTTCTTTCTAAAGAACCACTAAAAATGTTTTCTTAATTTAAAGATATTTTTGAAAAAAAGTTCCCCGAGGAAAAAGATGTTTCCTAAAAGCTACTATTTGGATAATATTTTTCTTTTATAATTAGTTGTCTTCCCAAAATAATTTCTTGGAAAGCGTGATTAATTATACTTTTAAATAAAAATGTGTCAAACGAACATATCCTTGCAAAAATGTTAGCATGGAGTAGAATAGATTAGGTCTGTTTTAATTATTCTATTAGAGAGAAATTTAAATTAAATACATAGATTAGCGTGTAAGCAATAAATTAATTTCTTTCTAATAAGAAAATACACCGTACATAGATGTCATATATCACAAATTAGAGATAGAATTTGCAGCCTATAATTTAGTAAAATATTCCTATGATGTCTTTTCTCCCATTTGTGAATGCGATTTGATTTATACGGTGAGAATTATGAAATTCATGCTTACTTATATACTTTTAATTACGTAGTCGAATGACCTTTTGAGTTAATTATAGTCAACACATATTTACAAATATTAAACTACGTTATATCGATTTTTCAAAATATTGAAATATTACTTATGTAGTTTATTTATTTCCTTTTTTTTTTGTCTAATCAAAATGTTTCTTCTTGTAGTACTATTAATTAAACAAGATGTGAGAAAGTTTGTCCAGATATATATATGGGTGACTTTCACATCTGTCAAAGAATAAACCTTTTAGGAAAAACACAAAACTATAATACAAAATTACAAATATTGGTAGCTACACTGCTCACTAATTAAGTACTACTCCGTTTAAAAGCTACTTTCTCTTGTTCCAAAGCATATTCTAATAACTTGTTTAAACAATAAAAAATGAATAATGCTTTATCTTTTTTTTTTAATTTTCTTCGTTAATTCCACGACAAAGCTAGAAATTTTAATTAGAATATTCAAAACTTTAATATATATTTTTAAAATAATCTTTTTAATTTGTATACAAAACATTTCTTTTTACATATGTACGATAGTACTTCCTCCGTTCAGAAATATTTGTCATGTTACGTTTATCGAAAGTTAATTTAACTAATTTTCAAAGGTAAATTAGATCACATTAGTTTCGATATTTTAAACAAAAGAATTAGATATTCTAAAACTATATGAAAAGTACTATAAATTACAAACTTTTTGCATATCAATATGATGAAAAAATGCATGTTAAAATGTTAGTCAAAGTTTTTATAATTTGACACTCTAAAAATAAAAACCATGACAAACAATACCGTGTAAATATTTTCATACTAGAGTTGTGATTTGAACCTCATTTCTTATTTAGAAAAAGAAAAATGTAGAACTCTCAAATTCTTAATCATTGTCCTACCTCGACCCTCGCACACACTCACACCCTCAACACACACACAAAAAAAATAATTTAAGAAAAGAAATATGCAATACTCTTTTGCTTCTAATTGCCTTATAGGAGTCTTTGAGCATTTTAGTTTTCTTTGGTCTTTGACCTTTAATATTTGTTTGCTATCTCTCATTTTTCAATACAAACTCTAGTTACATCTCAAAAAATAGATTTTTATAGCTAGACTCATTAGTAAAAAATAAGAAAACAATAATGTTAATACATTCGAATAATTAAACGCTTTAAAAACACTAAATAAAAAAGATAATTACGTTTAGCAAACATCCAGGTTTGAGACATCTCTCTATATATTGTGTTGCAAAACAAACCATTTTCATGAGAAAATAAAAAACAATAATTTACTCAAACTGTACCATAATCCAAGTGTCCAATAAATTTTTATCCTTTTTTCAACAACTAATAATTGATTATTGTAGTTAATAGGTTACCTTCCTAGAATAATTATCCTATAACAGTATAAGCCACTTTCACACGTTTGATTAGACCATATATACAAACAATTCATTTAATATACTTCATAACTCAAAATTTACTTGACATTTGATTATACACAAAATTTAGAAAATAAATAAAATTTTACATATTTCTATGATTGTAAATTATTTCATTAAAGATAAAAAAAATAATTTTAAATTTCTAATTAAAACAAGGCAGAAAACATACTAGAGTTTAAACTTCATACTCATAAAAGAAATGTTATATTGTTACATTACCTGAAAACACTTCTTCTGTCTCATTTAAGTTTTATTATCTATAAAACTTACCTGCTTATGTAAAATAATAGAAGACGGTGGATATTAGTTAAACTCATCTGCAATAACAAGTAATATTTTAATTACCCTGATCGTATAAAAATTCTTTATGCTATCAGTAAAATGCATATTAAGTCCCTCAAAATCAAAATTTTTTTCAAGACTTTGAATATTGAATTCTGAAATTTTATGACAGAATGTGTTTTTCGAAATTCATTTTTTTGAAAGAAAAGTGACAAATTTTCATGATCAAACGTCTCCCAAATATGAATGTTGTTATCAATTGAAAGACATTGATAAGCTTAGTGATGAATTAGCAGCAAGCATAGATGTATGGGTTTGGTTTTTGCTACCTCTTTTGTCCTTTAAGGATGTTAATTTGAGAATGTAAGGGGGTAAAGAGAATTTAATATTACAAAAAATAAATAAAAATGTAGCCCAATAAGGGAACCACTATCAATTAAGTTAATTTAGTATTCAATATTTTATGATCCACCTCTCTCTTCCTCTAGTGTTTATAAACATGGTGATAATGCTAGCAATTAGAGCTAAGAACTCACAAAATAATTAGCTTGATTAATTATCATCACCATCAAATTAAATAATATTACAATTATTAAGATGACAGGCACTGGTTCCCCTTGTGGTGCTTGCAAATTTTTGAGAAGAAAATGTATTAAAGGATGTGTATTTGCTCCTTATTTTTGCTATGAACAAGGTGCTACACATTTTTCAGCTATTCATAAGGTGTTTGGGGCTAGCAATGTCTCTAAACTCTTAGCTCATATACCTGTGAGTGATCGAGGAGAAGCCGCGGTCACCATAGCTTATGAAGCTCAAGCTAGACTTCAAGATCCAATTTATGGTTGTGTTTCACATATATTCGCTCTTCAACAACAGGTACATGATAGTTAATTATAATTTGATAATCATAAATCTTTTTAATTAATTGATCTATGAATTTATAAGATTTTTTTTTGTTTGTTGATGTTATAGGTTTTTAATTTACAAGCACAACTTGCTTCACTCAAGGAACAAGCTGCAGCTCAAAACATACAAAATGGTTCCAATTATATTACAAACCCTAATTATGACAAATTTCAAGATGTTCAAAGTTGGTTTCATCATCAATCTGAAAATCAAAACACTATGCCTCAATTTGATCATTCTAGTTTGACAAGTAACAATAATATTGGATCATCAATCCCATATTATGATGAAAACAATTACAACAACAACATGACATCAAATGATCATAATTACCATATGGGTAATAATTATGAGAATATCAATTTTGTGGTTCCAATTAAGGAAAATTTGTCAAGTTTTGAAGAAGGTGGATCTTGCTCAGTAGATTCTTCATTTGACAACAACAAGCAGTGGACATTTCAAGATCATGATGTTGTTGATGACCTTCAATCAGTTGCCTTCAGATATCTTCAACATTCTTGAGTACTACTACTACTACTACTAAGTTGAGATGATTAATTACTCTTGTCAATTTTGTATTGCTAAAAAGAGCCTTTATATGACTTGACATGATATATTTGCTAGAAACCCTAGAAAAAATGTTCAAAAAAAAAACATCATAAGCCTATTAGCTATGGTTCTGCCTACAATTGTTTCTCCTTAGGTCATGTGTAACCTTGGATATATGTAGAATATTATTAGTATATTTTAATAAAATTAATGATCTGTGTCTTTTATTAATTATTAGTACTCCTTAATTTGGCTTTTCAGAGGATCTATCAAGACCTACTAAATCATAGACCTTACTATCAGAAAGGAACCTCATTGTTTCTCTTTATATGCTTTCCCAATTTGTAGGTTTTTAGCTTAAGTTACAATATTGTAAATGACTTGCTACCCTAATCCTTCTTGACAATTTTTTTGGTTGATTTATCTTATGTTATGTTGTTCAGATTCTTCAAAAATGTCATCAGGTGTGTAAGTAGTACATGTTGGAAGGATATATCCAACAGAGGTGCGGCCGCAACTTTGGAGAGTGCAAGTGTATGTTGCTCGGACTCTCCAATAATATTGCCGCACCTATGCCGGATTCTCCAAATATACACTACTTTTGATGAATCTGGCACACACATTTCAATATTTTTGAAGAGTCCAAGCAATATAATTCTTATGTGCTAATAAGCTGGACTATTGATCTTAGATCATTAATGTAAATGTTTATTACTTGTATTAGAGTGCATGCATATACATAATTATATAATGCTATTAGTGTTCCTAATTAGAGAGTCGAGTTAAATATGTTGTTATATCCCCTGCAATGCCAATCCCTATGAAATTATAGATTAAAAAAGTGTTTTCATACTTGTTGTTGGAGATACTTAATTAATGATTGAAACTAGAGCTTGTAAATAATGTTTAACCTTAAGTTATATGAACTTTGTTAGGTGTAAAGTACATACATCATATATTATACTGACAATGAGAACTTAGAGACAAGTTCTAAGTAATATTCTAGTGATAGGTCAGTCAACAATAGACTGTAAATGTCAGGTTCTGCTTCTTAGAATCCTGCAAGCCGCAAAGGAAGAATCTTGCACAAAACATCATGATGATGTGTAGAATTTATCAATATTTTGTGTTGATGATGGATTTTTATGTATTGTCATTAGGTTCAAGATATGTGTGTATACCTTATTTAATTTGTTTCATGTATGTTCGTATATTAGTTGAATTCGCAGAACCTACTCTAGATCCGTCTTTGAATGTTGAAACTTGTTGTAGTCTTCTATTACAACACTTTGGTACCACATATTGAAAGTTGAGAGTTGCATTGAAGGATGTTGTACAAAGGAATCTGCTAATTTTATTTGCTTTTCTTGTTATGACATTTGTCATTTCTGGTCACATAAGTTTGCCCTTAAGGCAAAGTTATAAGTTAATTTAGTATTCATGTTATTGCATACCAGTTATTAGCATTGAGGAGTTTCAATTGAACTTCAATAAATACTAGTTGGGTGAGAAGTTGATAATTTCAAAGAGTCATTAGTTTGTTGATCCTTAGCTGGTACTCATTATACTTTCTTAGGGAGAAACCTATTATTCTAGGGTTTTTTTTAAAAAAATCGGTGAGTAAAGAAAAACTAGTAATGTTTTTATACAGAAAAATTAGGATGTATTTCATTATTTGAGTAATGAGAATTTATTTTTGACCATGCATTTTGCTACTGATTTTGGTTTAGTTGAAAATGAGTGAAATATTCATGTTCTATATATATAGCACAACTTTCACACCGATCCATAATGAGAAAAATCTTTATTTTTATAATAGTGAAGTAACGTTATACTGAAGTCGAGAGAAAATGAGATCTCTTATGCTATTATAATTTAAATAGAAGAAATGAATATCTTTTATATGTTTTGATTTGTATTTTATGCTCAGAGCAGTCTCCTGATGTTTGTTGTCATCAAATAAGAAGACATTATTGTACACTTCCCATCCATCCAATAATTATACAAGATGAACATCGTTTCAGTCGAATAATTTTTTTTCTCTAAAAAGTCATATTTTATGTATATATATTCAATAGTGGATCTGAAATTTTTATTATGGAGTTCAAAGTATGAAGAAGAAAACACACGCGAAAAGGTCAAAGAAGATTGAACATCTACTCTATATATACATAAAATATGATTTTAACTATATATAAACTGTGTAATTTTTTTATCGAAAGGAGTTCTTTTACGAGCTTCAATCCGGTATATATTAATGAACACTCAAATATGTTTAGTAAAATACCTGACTTCGCAATCAAACGCGGATGCAGAGTAATGGTATCTGGTTTATATGAATCTCCTAACTTTTAATATATAACACTCTCAATATAAAAAATCATACATAAAAAAGTCAAAAAATTAAATTCTACATTCGTCTCTTTTCGCGATTATGATCAACTATTATATCAAGCTGCTTATAACTTTAGCTCTTAACTAAGACTGTTGAGATTGCAAGTTACTATGAGATAGTATATCTACTTTTATTGAAAATCTTAAATCCATTTATTATAAACATAAAAAAGGAAAAGATCTCATTTCCAATTCTCAAAATTAATAAATGAATTACAACATAAATTAGAAATAGTAAATAAACAGGACTTTTAATTTCTTGAATAATTTTAGTATTTGAAGAAAGTGGCTAGGCTTTTTCTGCCATGTACAAGCCAATTGGGCCCAAGCCATTCTAAAAGCCCATTTGGATCGTAGGATGCATTGAGTCGTACGAGAACGATAGATACGTTTGTTATACGACATCGTAAGGTATGAGACTTGAATTTCGGTATTAATATTTCATAGTATTGATATTCGTTTTATATAAATTTGAACCTTCCAATCATAATAACTAGCTTTTGAAACGTGAACTTTCTTAGATTATATCATAATTTTATCTTGAAATTTTGGAAACAATCTCAACGAATACAAAAATTATTTATCAAGTATATAAATGTTATTTTCTTCAGAATGAAAGTAGGTAAGTACTCCTTCATTTCAAATTATTCATCCTGACTTTAAATTGACTTATAGTTTAAGAAAGATAAAGAAAATATTTTATCACAGTTTTAAATTAAAAATATGCAAAATATATTTAAAATAATTCTTTACAGGTTATCTTAAAAATGACATATGAAAAGTTAAAATGACAAGAAAAATGACATACTTAGATCTTAGTATGAGATTCGAAAAAAGTAACCACGATATTAGAATTATTTCTTAATTCATTTTCTTTAACATGATTACTACTTGTTTAAAAAGTTGTGAAGAAAAAATATATTTTTTCTTATAATATTTTTGAAAAATAAAATAAACAAATTAAAACAAAAAAACTTGACTTAAATAGAGATATTTCTCACGTGTGCAGTCCACCAATCTTCAATTTTTTTTTAATGATAGGTGAATTTCCCTACTGTTAGGCCTTCACTTTTTAGTAGCCAACCCTAGCTGAATTTTTGGTGAAAACTCAAGGCTACAATTTTATTTTATTTTAAGTACTAGTACTTTTTTTTCTTCACTAAAATGGCCACGAATTTTATTATTTTTTAATTTTAGCCACAGATTCTAGAAGGAATTTTTTAGACAAAGGTATATAATTGTCCACAAGAATCAAATTAATCATCTTTATCTACTCCTTTATTTTTGTAACTATTGAAGTTTAAACTAATTACTTTTGCCTACCCATTATAGCTCTTATACATAATTATCTCTTTTTTTAAAAAAAAAATTCTATTCTTTTTTTTTTCTAATTAATTCAAAAGAGGAAAGTATCAAAAATAACTTGACGCAAATTATTAGTTTTATTTTTAAACTATAGGCCGCTTTAAATATATTTTTTTATTTGACTAATTAAATCTAAATATATCGCGATCTTGCGACATTAGTAAAATGCACCCCTAAATTCTTATGTCAAATTTAGGGTGTTTTCAACACTTCTCTATATTTTTATTAAAAACTCCATGCTTCCACCATTACAACAAAAATAATTTTTAGCGGCAATAAATAAACACATTAATAAAAGGAGCTAAAGTCTTTGCATGCAGTAGTTAAATGTCACTAGATTCAATGTCATAAAGTCTTTAGAGACATATACAAAGAGTGTTAATTGCCGATAGAAATACATATTTAACAATAATTGTTAATTAATTATCGCTAATGCTTATTTTTTATGTAGTGTACAAGAGTTTGAGACCACTTATTGTGTCGTATTACACATCGAGAGTATATCGAAGGAATATCTAAGTTTAGTTAGTTCTGTAGAAAATTCTTTTTAAGACTATTAAAAATTTCAAAATAAAACTAATAATTTACACAAAATTATCTTTATTTTTTATAGCATATAACAGATAATAAAATAATAATCTTAATTATCCTAGAATTGAAGAAAGATTATTACCTTTCACTAGATGTCCCGTTAAATAGTGTCTTAAACTTTTGACTTTCTTTATAACCTAAAGTATCACACATTCTTTTATTTTTTTTCCTTTGTTTGACTCGAAAATGAAATGGTCGATTGAACACTTTATACTTTATAGTATAATGTTAATTTCCAACGGCATGAAATCAGTTAAAACAGCATAACAGATTCCTCTCTTTCAACTTGAAAGGACGTTCATTGACCCAAATAAAGCAAAAGGAAGGAATTAAGAGAATTTTGCTTCGAAATAATTGTTTTTATATCAAATTAGATTAGTATTATTTTAATTTAAAATTTGAAGTTTGAAATTAAAAAAATTACAAGTTTTTACTCATAAAACTTTAATTTTATTTCCAGTGCTCTAAAAGGACTTCACTTCTGAGTACTCTCAAATACTATTTTTAAATACAAAATCATATAGTCTAAACACCTATTAAATGTATACATATATTAGTTGAAGGGTTTTAAACATTTTTAGTCAGATCTACTAAAAATATTCACTTGCATAGCTATTAACAGTTCATACAATTCTATGAGGTGATCAGTGTCTCAAGTTCAAAACTCCTTTCGCTTGTTTTGTCTTTTGAGCTAATAATTATTATAAAGTATATAATATATACGCTTCGATTATGTAGTACATAGTTTATACTATCATTATACATTGCATATTATCTAAAATATTTATAATAATAATAGTAATACTAATTGTAATGAGTTGGATTACTTTATCTGGTCATCTTTCTTTTTCTTGGTCACTGTTACAACTTTTAGAAAAGAA